ATTAATCTTAATGCTACAAATGGACTCTTATTTTAAAGTGTTACCATTTCATTTCAACTGTCATGCTTAAAGATGCACATCTTTAAATATATACACAAAGGCTATAGCATTAAAATGATATACATATGGATATTGTATGTATACTCTCACACTTTAACTGCTTCTATTCTTGAACACTTGATGATTATCTAATCAAAATAAAAGCGCAGCTCTGAGTCTAGGAGAACTCACCGGTATCACACACACTCCGGACGCGTCGCGTTCAACTCGAGCAGCGGTCTAAAACAGTTTATTTAATCACCAAACGGACACAAGTTTACTTCAAGAATGAACAATTTGGCATGGATGAGTCTGTGTTTAAAAAACAGAGCAAACGGAAAGAGAACGCGCGACCTATATTATAGCTCTATAAATGAAGCACACAGACTTTATTAGAGCCACAGAAAGAAAAACGTTTTGCTGAAAATGCACAATACACAATTCATTATGTACATTAACAATGATTCGGGACTAATATAATGTAATTTAAAGGAAAACTATGTGAATGGCACTCTGTGGCGCGGCAGGATTTTCTGTCGGCTGCATTTAAATCCGTGTCTGAAGTTTCGCACTCTGTTCAGCATTCAGTATCACGTGTCTAAACAAATAGCACGTGCTGTCAGTGATTTCAACCACTAGAGGCCGCTCTTGCACTGTGTAATGACAGCAGACCCCTCTCAGCCGCTCCAGCAATGGACGCAACCCAGAAAACTATCGGTATGGATTTCTGTCGATAACCGATAGTTCCAGCAATCAACTATCGGTGCCGATTAATCGGTAAAACCGATACATCGGTCAACCTCTAATTATTAGCAAATGTTTCTCATACGTATGACTTCAGAAAACGAATATGGCGCACAAGACATATGAACTACTGTTATGATGCCTTCATGCTCTTTATTTCGTCAATTTGGGAGCTTTTACAGAAGAGATACTGCTAAACATCTTTAGTGTTTAACATGAAAAATAAAGTTACATGTGTTTTAAATAATGACAGAATTAGCCATTTTGGGCAATTTCTCATGAAACATTAGTCACTGTTTAAGTGAACATTCACGGAAATATTCGGGTTATATTTAACCACAAAATGCCAAAAAAATAAAAATCAATCAATTAAGAATTATATTATAGAAAACACTGTTTATTTTCAGGACTTTTAAGTGTTGCTTTGTATTGTGCCATTATTTTTCAGCCTGTATAAATAATTATTTTTATTTAAAATATAAAAATAGTCCATTATTTCAGGGATTCCCAAACTTTTTTGTCAGCTGAGGGTCCATATTTACTTGTGTTAGTTAATATTGTAATAATTTAACAACACATTTTAACATTTAGTATCAATTTAAATTATGAATTATTATTATTATTATTATTATTAAATTATCATTCACTAGGCTTCGTCAGTTGATGAAAAGCTAATAACTTATTTAAAAATATTTTTTAAATATATATATATATATAAAAGTCAAATAGTTATAATATTAACTTAATATTAACTTACTGAAATACCTTGGGGGTACTTCAAAATTATTTGTAATATTAAACAACTATTTAAATGATTAATTATTAAAATTTTTAGTTACTTTATTTGCATTTTAAATATTTTATGATTTAATTAATTATTAGGTTTTTATAATCTCACAAACCTGCAGTTCCACTTTATAGGAATAGACTATTAAAATCAAACCAAATCCAAGACAACATAAGAAACATAAATTTACAGTATCGAGAAGTAAAATCCCAAAATTAAAAAAAAAAAGTTACTACATACTAACCCTAAAACTAAACCTTTTTTTGCATTCTTACAACAATGAAACACCATGTACTGTATGGCCACACACGCGCGTGCGCAGTCCCCAGCAGAGGGCAGAGTTCAGCACGTTTCACAGGGTGTTCGGGCCCCGTTGTCCCCTGATATCATGTGCTGTCGTGGGCAGCTGTGAGCGTCAGCTGGAGCGCCGGTGGCCCTTCTGCTTCACCGGGACGCAAGCTCACGTTTCCCACAGCTCTGCCAAAACCCATCCCACAGAACCCAACACACCGGGTGGGCTAAAAACAACGCGGACGCAACTGTGTCAACACACACACACACACACACACAGGTTTGTTTTTATGGTTTATGGGGACTCTCCACCCACACACACACACACACACACACACACACACACACACACACACACACACACACACACACACACTCACTCACACACACGCACACACACACACGCACACACACACACGCACATGCACGCACTCACACACACGCTCACACACGCGCGCACACGCTCACATGCGCTCACACACACTCTCACACGCACACACACACACACACAAACACACACACACACACACACTCAAACACACACACACACTCACACACTCTCAAACACACACACACCCTCACACACAAACACACACACACACACACACTCAAACACACACACACACTCACACACTCTCAAACACACACACACCCTCACACACAAACACACACACACACACACACCCTCACGCACATACACGCACGCACGCACTCACACACACACACGCGCGCGCGCTCACACACACACTCAGTGCATCTGTGCAGCACTGGAGAATTACACAACTATTTCTCACTGTACAAGTGATGTCCTGCTCGAATTTCACCACAAAATCCAAATGCCAAAAAATTTTTATCAAGACTTATATTATACCAAATACAGCTTATTTTAGGACATTTAAGATTAGTTTTGTATTCTGGTATTATTTTTCAGCCTGTATAAATGTAATTATTTTATTTAAAAAAAAAATATTTTAGTGTGTATATATATATATATATATATAAAATACATCTAAAACAGAAAAATATAAATATATTATTTTAAATGTATTACACACTTTAAAAAATAATGCAAATAAAATCATTTATTTATTTTAAATGTATTATTTTTTTATTTTATTTAAAAATTTAACTTTTTTATATTTTAGACATAAATATTGTTAGTATTAATAATAATAACAAAAATAATAAAACTAAAAACTTACAAAATATATTAAGTATAATACTAAAATATAAATAAATATATTTTTTTAATGTTTTAATGTTTTTTTTTTAAATGTACAGTATCTCATCAAATACTATGAAGAGGCATACTTGTATTTTACACTTTATTTTTTAAAAGGGTTTATATTTGACAGCCCATAATTCAATTTTTATTTCAATTTTATTTAAAAAAATATTTTTTTAAAATATTATTTAAGATATTTTTAAACAATACTATTATTATTATTATTAATAATAATAAATAATAAAACAACGATAAAATGATAATAAAACAAAATACAACTAAAATGTATATATATATATATATTTAAATGAATCTTATCAAATACTATCATGATGCATATTTGTACTTTACACTTTCTTCGAATATTGGTTTACATTTAACATCCCATAATTCATGTTTCCCAGCTTCTATCACAGGTTTGAGAGCTGACGACAAGCTAATAATTACTTACAGTGGGTACGGAAAGTATTCAGACCCCTTTAAATTTTTCACTCTTTGTTATATTGCAGCCATTTGCTAAAATCATTTAAGTTAATTTTTTTTCCTCATTAATGTACACACAGCACCCCATATTGACAGAAAAACACAGAATTGTTGACATTTTTGCAGATTTATTAAAAAAAAAAAACTGAAATATCACATGGTCCTAAGTATTCAGACCCTTTGCTCAGTATTTAGTAGAAGCACCCTTTTGATCGAATACAGCCATGAGTCTTTTTGGGAAAGATGCAACAAGTTTGTCACACCTGGATTTGGGGATCCTCTGCCATCCCTCCTTGCAGATCCTCTCCAGTTCTGTCAGGTCGGATGGTAAACGTTGGTGGACAGCCATTATTAGGTCTCTCCAGAGATGTTAAAATTGATATAAATAATTGAAAAATAAAAAAGTCAAAACAAAAAATGTACTGAAAAAGATTAAATATTTTATTAGTTTACCTGCATGTCACGAGACCATTAACCGAATCAGAGAATGATGCAAACATGCAAGAGTGCTGCTGAATTATTGAAATATTAACTTGAAATCAGGTTGAAGGTGCTCGGCTGATGAGATAATTTGGGAATTAAAGAGGCTCTTGATGATTCCTGACAGCTTCTTCCGATCACTACACGGCTTCTGTGACGGGTCTGATGTGCTTTTTCTCACCTCAGGAGCCAGATACTCTGGAGTCCCACAGAAGGTCTTCATGGTGGCTCCGTCTGTGATTCCCTCCTTACACAAGCCAAAGTCCGTGATCTTTACGTGACCGTCTTTATCCAGCATCAGGTTTTCCAGCTGAGAGAGACAACGACAGAAAACATTTCAGCTGTCATCATCTAATAACTGTGACTGTCAACTTTCACCATATTTCCTCCAAATATATTTCTGAAAAACACTGAATCAAACCAACCACATCACAGCAACTAAATCCATCAATAAAAAGATAAAGAAATGAAAGAAATAAATGGTAAAAAAAAAAGTAAATATATAAATAAAAATATAATATAAATGATATAATACAATATAATATAAAACAAAATATAAATAAATAAATAAATGAATTAATAAACTGTAAACAAATACAAAGTAAATAATAAATAATTAAATAAAAAAGTAAAAGTGAATATATAAAGAGGTAAACAAAAACCTAATAAAAATAATAAAAAAGGAAAAATTTAACTAAATAAATATATAAAATAAAAAGGGTTTAATTAAATAAAATGTAAATTAATAAAAAAAAACAAATACAAAGCAAATACGTAAATAAATAAATATTTTTAAAATGATTAAAAGTAAATCAAATAAAAAGTTAATACATAAAAAGCTAATTAAAAAGTAAATAAATAAATAACAAAAGTAAATTAATATATAAAAAGTAAAAAAATAAAAAGAGAACATATAAATAAGTAAATAGATATAAAGCAAATAAAAATATATTAATTTAAAAAGTAAATAAATAGGAAATAAATAAATACATACATTCATACACATACATACATAGATTTCGAGTTTGAATTTGACACTTTGTGGCACTTAACCTCCAAACTCTTGAAATGTTTACTCAAACACTCAGCTGTAGTAAAGCTGTAGTGTGTGTGTGTGTGTGTGTGTGTGAGAGAGAGAGTGTGAGTGTGTGTGTGTTTGTGTGTGAGAGTGTGTGTGTGTGTGTGTGTGAGAGTGTGTGTGTGTGTGTGGCTTTGTATGTGTGTGAGTGTGTGTGTGTGTGTGTGTGAGTGTGTGTGTGTATGTGTGTGTCTTTGTGTGTGAGAGTGTGTGTGTGTGTGTGTGTGTGTATGTGT